GTGGTTCTGCCGTTTTATCTCCAGTGACATAGAAAGCGCCGAGGCCAGAGCCGGCACAGCGTCACAAATTGTGTCGAAGAGAATGAACCCGAGACCTCTCAAAGCAGTGTGCAGTGTCCGTAAATACAGCAACAAGAAATATTCATGAAAATTGGTTTCATGTCTCACTTGCAGTTCTGAGGTGAGGGAAACAAATTATAGTACCACCGACAAGTTTTTTTTTTCACTTTTAGCGTTAGCTTTTGAGAATACGAAGAACCAGAAACTCGCAATATACGGCCCCTGAGCTTGGAAGTTGTACATATTTAAGGCCACGTATTCAGCCGATACACTGAGGCCTGAGTATGGCGCTCGAAAACGATTCGAAGAAATCTCAAGCGCTTCCGGTCGAAGCTTCTGAGGAACAAGATAATTCAAATACAAGCATCAGTTTAGAATTTTCGGGTCACGCATAGCATGGCGACTACTTAATAAATCCGAGGTCGGTGGCAGCCATTTTGGCCGCATCAGCAATGCTATTACGTAGCGGAAGTCGATAGTAACCGCGCGCTGATTGGTTCTCCATCCAACTACTCACTTCCGGCGTCTACGCCGACGCTGCAGATATCTGAATTGTTCAGAAGTGGATGTTTCGGCACCATCACTGGCAGCGTCGACGCCGAGTTACGCGGGCGTACGAAACACCGGCAAAACGCTGTATATATTATGTGACGATTTTTACACAAATATTTTCATGCAGTTTGTTCACAGCTCGGTGCCGAGAATCCGCCGCCGCCGCTTCGTGACGTCACGGCGGCAAATTCCTGGTGAGAGAGAAAGAGGGATGGGGAGCACGGGCTTGGTGTGCTACCCCCGGCTCATACCGCTGAGGATGGGCCCCTTGCCACCCCTACCCTTGCTTCTGGACTGCTGCTTCTGTTGATGACGACCGTTCCACTGCTCAATTAATCTTTCCTCTTCTTTCCACTTTTCCCCCTTTTCCCTTCCCCGCAGGCACTGCGCCGTGCTCCCGATCGGGTTGCAGAAATTAGGTGCCTTTTCTCATCTTCTAACCACTACCACCACCACCACCCCCGGCTACGCCATTGGTCTTTGTCCTGCTGCAGTTGGCGCAGTAAGGCCGCTGATAAGGAGGTCAACATGTGGACCCAGGAATGAATACGTTAAAGCAACGTATTTTCCAAGCCACCGCTCATTGTTCGGACGGGTCTCCTCGCGGAAGATATCGAACACCACCTGCAACAAAAGAGAGCACTAAAACACGAAAGGGATGCCCCACAAATATGACGTAAATTGTATTTTATTTTCACAAATGGACATTTCAAGTAGCTAATTTATTGTGACGAATGAAATTATAACTGCTTGTGTAGCAATAGGGGAAGTGAATTATTTCATCAGAAATGGGAATTCAGTGAGTGCATGAATGGAAAATTATTGTTTTATTTTGCCACAATCAGAAATATATTAAAACAAGTACAAATTCAATACAGGAGTTTACACAAGAAAGTGAGCAATAAAAATGCAATATATATATATATATATATATATATATATATATATATATATATATATATATATATATATATATATATATATATATATATATATATATATATATATATATATATATATAATGAGACCTAACAGGCAATAATGTAAAGGAAGGTATAGGGGAAGTTATTAGGCCAACTGTAATGTAAATTAGAAGAAGGAAAAGTGGGTGAAAAGATAACTCGCCGTGGGCAGGATCCGAACTTGCAACCTTCGAATAACGCGTTCGATGCTCTACCACTGAGCTACGACGACAGCTATCCCCCCAGCCACTTTATTGGGTATCTATGTCAATTTAAACGTGGCAGTGTCAGTCAGCGCCACTAGTAGTCATGGCGGCGAGTGTGGCACGCTCTTTATGAGCCTGTTTAACGTCACGTAGCACGTGAACCTATTACTAACTGGCAGCTCACTAATAGTCCCTCATATACAACCTAAAGGCACCAAGTCTGCCAGTACGAGCCCCCCGTTAATGAATAAGAGAAACAAGTGTATACTTAAGAGCCCGTTTTTCGTGTTTACACAATATTAATGTCCACGGCGAGTTATCTTTTCACCCACTTTTCTTTCTTCTCATTTACATTACAATTGGCCTAATAACTTTCCCTATACCTTCCTTTGCATCATTGTCTGTTAGATCTCATTAATATTGCGGCTGCATTTCCGATGGAGGCGGAAATGTTGTAGGCCCGTGGGCTCAGATTTGGGTGCACGTTAAAGAACCCCAGGTGGTCTAAATTTCCGGAGCCCTCCACTACGGCGTCTCTCATAATCATATGCTGGTTTTGGGACGTTAAACCCCACATATCAATCAATCTCATTAATATTGTGTCAACACGAAAAACAAGCCCTTAAGTAATATATATATATATATATATATATATATATATATATATATATATATATATATATATATATATATATATATATATATATATATATGTACATGTGTGTGTGGAAAGAAGTGTATACTTAAGAGCTTGTTTTTCCGTTTTTGACACAATAATAATGAGATCTAACAGACAATAATACCAAGAAAAATACAGGGGAAGTTTTTAGACCAAATTGTAATGTAAATGTGAAGAAAGAAAAGTGGGTGAAAAGTTGACTTGCCGTGGGCAGGAACGATCGGTTCCTGCCGCACGACAAGAAAATTCAGCCAGTTGCACGTAGCCACCATTGATAAAAGAGCGAAGCTGTTAGTTTACAAAGACGCCTTCGTTTCGAGAATTATTGAGTTGGGTGGTTTGAATGAAGTGGAATGAAGCGGAAGCATGTGGTGAGTGGTGAAAGTCGTGAGTAGCACGTGCACTGAGCCTTGATCCGCAAGAGGGCAACGCCATCGCCGATCCATTTTTCAGGTTCGTTCGTACGCTCCGTCCTGATGTCCATGTTTCGGCATGCAGAAAGTGTTCCGTAGGTCTCTAAGCATCCGAGTTGCTGTGCGGATTTCGAACGCAGCACGTGCAGCAAAATTTATGCTCGTGTGCTGAGTGCGCGGACCATCAAAATGGTGACCCCGACGCTAGCGATCCTCGTGGATGACGTCAAGTGTATACCCCGATGGCCCCCGGACATGAACTTCGCCTCAACTAAAAATAACAGCTTCGCTATTAAAAAAAAAGTTTTGGCAGCTTCACACTAGCAATGCCAAGCCGGAAAGAAGAGCGCATCTGGGTGGCGTTCCTTGTTTCGCTTAATTTTTAATTTTTAAAATCTCGTTTCCCTCTTTCTCTTTGTTCCATGTAAATATTTTTTGTGCCTATTTCTCTATTTTTTTTCACTCTTCACATCTTCTTTTACATTCGTCCTCTCTCTCCCTCTCTGCTTCTTTGTCTCCCTTTCTTTATTTCTCTCGCTGTCATTCACACTATTCTTCTCATAACTTTTTCGTGACTTTTTTTCGTTTCTCTGTCTATCTTTATATGTATTTATTTCCTTTCTTTCTGATTGTTTCCATCGCTTTATTTCTTTCACTTTCTGGCTTTTACCTATTTCACGTATAATTTCTGACAGCTACGCTGTCACAAAATAGACTTGCTTTCAGGAGCGCCCTCCCATTTACTCATCGACAGTGCAGCGCTGTGCGTCGTTTATAGAGGACTTGCGCATAGTCATGCACAAAACCTGACTGTATGCCTATCATACTCGCGGACGCCATTACATTGCTTCAGTTAGAAGCTAAAGCTACCGTTGTGAGCAGCGCTGTTTTCCGGATGAGTAATTCGTTTAGGGTTCCGTGACTGTATTGTTTGCCGCAGCGTCATTCACCAGCATGAAGTACGTTGTAAGGACTTAAAATAATGCTGGCGAGGATGGTTGCGTGGATTTTGATTCCCGTCAAATAAAGGCGTAGGCAGATTTTTTTTTTTTTTGGGGGGGGGGGGGGGTTCTCAAAATGGTTATATTTTGCTCTGTATCCCATGGTGAAAAAATTACGGGTTGGGGAAGGGGCGGGCTTGGTGTGCCATCTCTTGGCTGTAACTGCTGTCAGACCACAGTGATAGATGAGGGAGACGATTTTCGGGGAAACACTGAAAGTGATACCTCCAAGGTGCCGATATATTATCAGCTGGCCCATCGTTTAAACAAACGTTTTTATCGGCTATATCTCTACATAGTCTCTGATTCCTAGGGTGCAAATCATTGTTCAATACCCTAAAATACGACATTCTTGGGAAATATAAAATAAAGAAAAGAAAAATAAAGAGCGAGCATTGGATGTTTCACAAGTTTTTAGAAAAAAAAAGTACATAATTAGATAGCAGAACGTGATCCGTCGTTTCTGGAGACCTTTAGGTCCAAACTTGAAGTTTTCCCTTGTAAGTAAAAAAAAAAAAGAAAAGCAAATGAATACAGGCCCCCTTCAATAGTTGTGCACTGCGCTTGCTGCGTCTAAATCTGTAACATATATATATACCAAGGGAACTTCTCACTTCGGCAAGTGCACAGGAAAATGCATGTCCGCGCTTCAGTGCAAACATATGGCGTCGCATATCTTCTTAATTTATCCCTTCATTGTTCCATATCTTCCATATTCTTTTGCACCTGACCCTCGCTCTCTCAAGTCTTAACTCCATGCAATTCAAAATCTGAAGGGCGTGCGTGTGTGGGCGAACTTAAAACCGAAAAGCAATAGATAAACGGCGCTCAGGGCGTCCGCCGTCGGTCTGGCTTTTTCTCCGCGATGTTTGCTAGCTCGTTAGACGGAGAGTTTCCGAAACAGAACACGAAAGAGGTCAGGGCAGGAGAAATCAAAAGAGAGCAGCACTATTCCTGCGCACGATGCATTTTTTTTCTCTTCTTTCCCGGGCTCTTGGCGCGTTTACTTTTAGAACGTTGACGTAGGGCGCGCAAACGGTCTTTGTGCCGGGGAACACCCCGACCGAGAGGGCCGCTGGTGGTGCGCCCTGCGTTTCCGCTGCCGCACAGAAAGGCCACCACGAGCTCTAGGTTTCGTCAACAAGTGTTGAGCCCCCAGGCCCGTGTGGCGTCGCCGCCGCCTGAGGGCGCTCGTTGCCAGCCATGAGTGCGCGACTTCTTGGATCACCGCCCGCGTAGACACGAGGGCACGCACAACACCATAGTCGACTGATGTGACGGTCCAGAGACTCAAGACGCGGGGACGCCATGTCACGGCCTGCGAACAACGAGTAAGACACTTCAGTGACCGACCTCACTTGGAAATTATCCTGCACTGCATGCTTCTCTTTCTCTTTTTCATGTTTTCCTCATTTGTTTTTGCAGAAGAAGTGGTTGCAGTAAAATGACCAGCGTCGAGGGCATGGTGATCGCGGTGACCAATTTTGCCGATCGAGGCGCTGTTCGGCAGAGTCACCTTTTTGGTTGTTGCCCACTGTCCCAACCACAGTGCTTTTGCTGCTACCCTATGCGTAAATGTGGGCTCTGTCGAAATTGTATATTCTACGAACTGAAATCAGAAAGTGAAGGGCACTATGGTTCTTCGAGATGCAACGCACTATACAGAGCCGGCAACACGTTACATCTCGAAGGGCTCATATATCCGACCAGTGTATAGATACCATACTAAACGCATTTCCGAAGAAATATTCAAACTGTATACAATTTTGAATGAAGAAAAGCTACGTAACACTGTAAGCAAAACATGGTAGTTTGTCTAAAGTTGTAAGTGCGTCTGCTGGAGGCTAATCACCGAGACGTCGCGTGTGAAGTGTCTCGCTAAATATATACGCGGGGTGTGCATCTACCAAGTGATCGTGTTGTTTCAACTCCTGCTATATAACAAGAAAAATGTACGCAACTGTGTCAACTAATTTTATTATCCGGATGGCTGCCAGCAGTGAAACTAAACAACGTGAACAAGTCGACAACCTGCAACTCTATTTTATTTCCGGGTGCATGGCACACGTGTTGTTGCGAAGAAAAGCTGTGTCCGCATTTGTTTCTAGAAGTACCTTGCTTCATTCCATCATTGCCACACGGCAATATTTCACACGTGCCTTTCACGTAGCTTGTTCAAAATTGGTATCGCTGCGCGTAGCGGTGAAATGTCTCGATTGGTATGAACTTTTTTTGGTGGCACACACCTTAACCAAACACATCTTTACGGCACGCTTTCGGTTGCATTTTGCTCCTTCTGGGTGTTTGGGGTTTCACTATACTCGTTTCGGATGCTTTCCAACTGTAATGACATGAAAAGTTACGAGTCAACGTATATTGACAAGACGTCGTCTTTCGGCACTTCTTGCCACTCATTGCGAATTCAGTAATAAAGTCTATTTTCACTTCTTACCGGCATACGTACTAATACTGCAGAGCGGGTGACGCACAGTATGGGCTATTGTGCTATAATAGGCCGAATGTCATGATAATTTTATTGTGGGTGGTCGGGAAGTCAGTGCCCATTTCAGAGTTTCATAGACGTTTGAAATAGGCACTGATATTCTAATAAAACGCTATTTGATAAATAAAAAACACACTACAAACTTGCAATAAAAAGGGGAGCAAACATTTATTTTCAGAATTACAGCTCAATATTGATGACTGAATAAAATTCATGTTACTTTTAGAAACAAAGATGGTAAATTTTATGATGTGCTGAGATAATACACGTTTCTAAGCGCGGCGCGCTAGTGCTTGGTCAAGTATTTTGATGTAGCATGCATCAGTGAATTTTGTCCAGAAGTTGCAATGCATCATCAGTCAGAACATCTCGAATTGGTACTTCCAGTTAATGTATCATTTGTTGCTTCGTCAAGTGAGTTTGTTCATTCATAGTGCCACGCAATATAGGTCCGACAGGGGTCGAAAATGATGTTGTCAGACTGCGCCACATGATCGCCTAAAGTGACGAATGACTTAGTGCAATGTCATATGGGAAATGTGCCTGATCACGAATTGCAGTGCCCTCCACTTATGTCTGAGGTTAGCAGTACGGCTTTAAAATTCCCAATAAACTTTGTTTTACTGAAGTAGGCACATCAGTATAGGAGCTACTTTCGCGAATGCGTTCTTTACAACATATTTAGCTACAAATTTGATGCCCCGCCGTGGTGGCTAAGGTACTCGGCTGCTGACCCGCAGGGCGCGGGCTCGAATCCCGGCTGCGGCGGCTGCATTTCCGATGGAGACGGAAATATTGTAGGCCCGTGTGCTCAGATTTCGGTGCACGTTAAAGAACCCCAGGTGGTCGAAATTTCCGGAGCCCTGCACTACGGCGTCTCTCATAATCATATGGTGGTTTTGGGACGTTAAACCCCACATATCAATCATCAATCAACAAATTTGCTGCCTGCGCGATAACCTTGTGTTCATTCAAGACCACTTGCTTAATTTTTAATTATTGCTTACCTTCTCGAAGGGATATGCAGTGATATCGCGTTTATATGTATGCAGAATTGTCGAGTATTATTATTGAATCTTCCAAACGATGTCATCTGGTCTTATACTGTGCGGTAATTATCCTCGCACTGAACTTGCTTTAAAGATGTTACGTGAATGTATTGCCTACAAATTGTACCCTGACACAAAAATTCTATTACCTTTATATGCAAAGGTTCAAGTACAAGGCTCCAGACCGGCAAAACCCTTTGAGTCTGCAGTGTCCGGCGTGCCTGGAGAAGCTTCAGGATCCAAGGATACTTCCTTGTTTGCACACGCTGTGTAGACGTTGCATAGAAAGGCTCGCGAGGTATCACAGGTGTTTCTTATCTTGGAGAGTGAGCAGTGCTAGAGACGTCCCGACTCGAGCGTCTTGTCCCAGCGGCACACCAACGAGCATGCACCCAGCTACCTCAAACTGCAAGATGCATGCATCCGCACACTGCCAGATAGACAGCACTGTCGAAGAAAGGGCGGCTGGTGTGATTGTTTGTCCTGCGTGCCAGAATGAATGCACCGTGACGGCGACAGGAAACGAGTTCCCTGCAAATGTTCTAGTCAGACGGTTCCTGCGCCCTGCTCCTGACCTACTTGGCAGCTGGCAGCGGGGTGCGCTAAAGCAATACGTGCCCCGAGGCAAGCGTTCCTCGCTCAGTCACCTGAGCGCCAAGAGCAGAGCCGCCGTGAACAGGTGCATCGGCTGCGTGCTGTCGTGTTGCACTAGGGTGCGACAACGTGACAACAGTGAGAATCCACCCGGACGGTCGGCCGCACGCAGTATGAATGATGCAGAAAACCAGACCACACAGTCAACGGCTTCACTGGAACCTCAAACTTGTTCCGAACATCCGGCGTGCCAAATCGATACTTTCTGCCTGTCATGCCACAAAGCCATCTGCTCGTCGTGTTTGATTAAAGACCATCGTAATCACGTCAGCAGTGAGTTAAGCGCTGCTCAAGAAAAGGAACTGAAGAGGACAGGTCTGCTTCTTACCAGGCTGCACTTGAAGATGTCCAATCTTGAAGACTCAGCAAGCGGAACCTTGAAGAAAAGTCAGGCTCTGTCCCGCAACGCTACCGATGTGACACGCGAGGTGAACAACTTCTACGATGGATACGTATGCGCTTTGGAAGCTCGCAGGCGCGAGCTGCTAGATGAAATAGCACGCTTCCAGAAAGAGCACCAGCAGACACTGCTCGATCGTAGCAGCAACCTGGAGGCGGCGCTTGTGCGCGCCAAAAACGTGCATGAGTTCGGTAAGACGCTGCTTCATTTTGGACCTAAGATGCCAGAGGTAGTGCTGCCGCTCGTAGAAGTGCTTGACAAAGCTGCCCGACCTATCGTCGTGATGGACGACAAAGAAGACATCTTGGCGTATCAGCCACTTTCTCTCAGGTTCAGAAAGGACAGAGAGGACCACAGGGAAGGATACCTCGTGTATGGTGCGGTGTCCAGCCAAGCCGACCCATCGATGGTGTCAGCAGTGTTGTCATACGAAAGTGAGTCATTACTTCAATCGTACAAGTACATCCATACGGTCGCAAGTCAAATGCTCGCTAGTCACTGGCGCACATTATTACACATAGCATGACGCCTATCGCTGTGTCTCGAATAACCAGTATTACCTTTTCAATGCTTGAAGCCAGGGGATTCGGGGATGTTCATCATAAGGGCGCGCTGAGGGGAGTTTTCACTGGCTTTCCCGCAGTGTGCATGTTCGCATACCATCAATCTCTTATTAAAAGGAAAGTAAACGTAATTGTCTCTGCGGAGGGCTATTTGGAAAAATTTGAAGGAAAACACGAAATAATAATTCAGGAACGAAAAATTGTTTCTTATGTGAACGAAATTTACAGAATTTCGGTATTATTGGCCCAAAAGACTAGGTTTGTGTTCACAGCTCTCATGCGGCAGCATATAGGCGTGCACACGAAAGGTGGGGGGGGGGGGGGGGAGGGGCTGCCCATACCCCTTTCTTAGCCTTCTAGTAAAGAACCATGCGCACGCTTGTGTGCTGCAGGATTTTATGTATAAGGAGGACATGCATAAGGTTACTGCGTTGTTCGGCGTGGATCTTCGGGCTGTCCTGCACATTTACTCTAATAGAAGCAGAAGTTTTATAGGGCATGGTAGGGGTGAGGTAAAGAGAGATTCTACTGCACTCCCCTCCCCCTTTTAGGACATGACGTAATGTCAAGATCTTGTTATACGCCTTTATACTTGCATACTTGCACTATATGCATGTAAATTATTCTAGTTTATATTTTTAACTTTATCGTGACGCGAACAAGCAATACATTTCGATTCCTCGGCAAATGAATCAGTATATACCAGTAAGCCAAAGCTTTTTATGTGCTATTAGCAAGTACTTGTATGCTTGCTTTGGAATGAAAATGCATAGCTAGTGCACTTAGCATAATGGTAAACAGTGCAGTGCGAGCGTGTCACAGTCGAAGACCTCAGCACATGCGTGCCGTACCTTAGTATGGTAAAACCAAATTGCCTTCTCAACTATCAAGTTTTACGGTATTGTTACTTGTTATAACAGATACCACGGACAGTCAACACCTTGGTTCTTTGAAAGTCGTGCGCTTGAAGTTCCAGGATCCCTCTGGACACCCAATTGATGTGGAACCAGAACAAGTTCGGGCAATGCTTATTTCATCCAAGTCAGCAAGGTTTGTTATGTTTAGTTTCCTCTGGTTTGACAAGTCAAAAAGTGTACTTTTCATCTAGGAGAGAACGTGAGAAACCATTGTTTCTGAGGGGTGCTGTCATAATATTTTGATAATGCTGTTAATGACAATGTGACGTTTACTGAAAAAAAAAGTGTTTCCGTATACGCTAGGTTGTGATGATTTGGTGCCTGGTGTATAACCGCTATAAGAGAACTAGCTGAAGGTATTATGAAGCCTTACAAACGTGTCTCACCATTTCAGTTTTCCTTTACAGTTTTCTTGAAGTCTTAGTTCCATTAAAAGAAGTGTCGTGTGGCAAAAACCATAAAGATTGAACATCATAAATAACCATATAATCATGCTAAGCAAACGCGTAATAGCAAGTCATTATTTGAACGTAACTCGACATTTAGTGGCTTATGCATCCCTCGCCCAGAGCCAGGAAACACAAGAAATTTGATTGCAATGGCAGTAAATTGCAATGTAACATTACGCTATTACTGCCCACCATTCTGTTAACATATGCAAATTGTCTACCCATTTTTAACTGTCTATTCTTTATTTGTAAGTTTATTACGACGTACTGCTTGGTTATTTCTGCCTGCCATGCTGTTTACCTTTTCTAATTGCCTAGATATTTTTATTATCACTTGTTCACTCGCAACTTTGTGACAGCATATTGCCTTCTTATTTTACGCATACCCTGACTATTTAATTTATGCTAAGTGACCATCTACCTTGTGTAATCCAGTTTTCTGTTTGTACGAACAGATATGCTACACAGTAAAAAATCTCTGTACATGTCCACCCTGTTATGGTTCCTGATGGGATTGTCAGCAATAACTAGCTGACTGACTGACTGTCTAAACTAAGTGGACATTTAAGGGCCCGTTTTTTTTGTTGTACACACTATGAATGAGACCTAACAGACAATGGCAACGAAAGTATAGGGAATATTATTAATGGTACATTACAATGCAAATGTGAACAAAGAAAAGCGAAAGAAAAGATAACTTGCCACCGGCAGGCATCGAACCTGTGACCATCGAGTAACGCGTCCGATGCTCTACCAACGTATTGCCATCGTAGTGGACGGGGTTATGGCCGCCGCTGTAGCTGGATGGTAGAGCATCGGACGTGGTATTCGATGTTCACAGAATCGGTCCCTGCCAGTGGCAAGTTATCTTTTTGTTCACTTTTTTTTCTTCCCATTTGCCCTACAATTACCATTAACAACATTAACTATGATTTCCAAGGCGCTGTCGTCTATTAGGTCTGATCAGCTAACTAACTTACAGGTGGACTTGACCCACTTTTCGGCATTCGTCTGACGAAAGATATGGGCCAGTCCCAAATGTAGCGAGGTTTCACATAGTGTATGAAAGAGCTAGGTGTCACACGTAAAGAACGCCATAAACGTGAGCTTGACGCAACGCCAGACGTTTAGTATAGCGACTGTATGGCTCGAGGGAAACGTTAGTGTGATTGCGAGTGTTAGGCTGGCCGCGCTGGAAAACAGAGGCTCGATCTATGCCATCAGTGACGCATTATATTACAATATTGTAGGTTGGCTTGGTCCATTTGGGACGTACATGGTAGGAAAGTCTAGATGCGTGGAGAGTGTGTGAGTGTGTCAAGCGCAGTGTTGTGCACTAAATAGTCGGTTTGTGCGAGATGCTCGTTATAACAGGGACATGACTTAGACAAATGAGAAATTGCGAGGCTATCCGTGGATATGTGCACGCACGCGCGCGCCGTGGTCCAAGCGTCACAGTCATCACATTCTAAACATCGCGTACACACAATAGAATTGAAAGTTCTCGCTTAGCATTTTCAAGCGAAGCTCGTATTGGCGGGTTTGTGTAGCTGGTTATGGTGGTGTTCCAATAAACTTTCCTCACCAACAGCTGGTGCACACCAAAGAAGCAATAAGTGACAAAATAAATCTTCCACGAGCCTGGGCTTGAACGCTGGTTCTCAGGGTCCGAAAGCGAGTGCCTCAAACTCCATAGGCCAAATGCCAATGATGTCGCAATGAGAACTGAATAGAAATACACGGATGAATACACTACGCAAAAAAAGGTAAGAAGAAAATAAGCGGTAGATTTGCTATGGGAGCTTCATCGAAATGTTTCGTGTTGGTGGACTCGAAGCGATCTGCAACTGGACAACGCGAAAGGTCAATATCAGGAATCGCCCATTTCCGAAATATTCCGGACTTCGAGAAAATTGAATTCCTAACCCGCATTTCCACGATCGAGGGAGTGTCTTTTTCATTGAGGTGTTCTTTACGGGCCGACGAACGCCGGAAAGAACACGAAAGACGCCATGCTGATTCACACGAAAACAATGTTCCGGGCAAGGCCGCTTCAAAGAAAAAAAAAGAAATAAATAGAATAATGAAAAAGACTACAAGCTATCACTTGCCCCCATTTACCTGGTGAGAAGGGCCTCAGAATGTTTTACAAATTACTAATATTTTGAAGATTCTTATCAGAATGATTAGCTCTGTTGTTCACTTACAGGACAACTGCAGCCGAAGTCACACGCGCCGAGGACGATCCTTTGCAGCTGAGACTGAAGTTCGAAACGAGGAATGCTGGCACACATGCACTCGCAGTCACTCTGGACGACCAGCCCCTCCTGGTATAAACCTCAATATGCTGCTTTTCTACGTGCGTGTTCAGCCGAGTGAAAACAAAGCGTTCTTTTAAAGCGCGCCCGTGCGCAACAACACGCTCGTTTATTCACGCTTCGCGTCAACAAAGTTTCACGAGATGAATTCGTCTCTTGATGTTTTTTAAGCTTCCTTTAATGTATTATAGGGGTCAAAATCAGCCTCTGAAAATTCCATACGATGAGTTGTCTTCGCGCATGCGACTCTCAACTTGACGTCACACTAGCATCGCCCACACTAACCACTAGGCCAACAATGCAGTTGGAATATTTTATAAAGCACGTTCGACACGTCCATGCTTCATCACTCTCATGAGTGATGTACACAGAACTTTGCCCGCTTGGGGTTGTTTGTCCTGCCGTGTTCAAGTGATGCTACGCTATGTCATTGCAGCACGCTCCATGGCCGATCCCGAGCGCACTTATGTATCAATATTACGCTAATGTCAACACCCGAACATTTTCAATTTTACACACACACACACACACACACACACACACACACACACACACACACACACACACACACACACACACACACACACACACACACACACACACACACACACACACACACACACGCACACACACGCACACACAAATATATATATATATATATATATATATATATATATATATATATATATATATATATATATATATATATATATATATATATATATATATATATATAACGTTTAACTCTAGAACCTTCTCTAGTGAGGCAAGTCTAGCTGTACTATTCAAGGAGATAGAGGGCATTGAATGGGATATAATAGGCTGAGTGAAGTTAGGAGGACAGATCATCGCCTATACAGCGCTACAGAACGGGCACGTCCTTTGCTATTGGGGCTTGGCTGACAGAAGAGAACTGGGAGTGGAGTTCTTTATCCACAGAAACATAGCTGGCAGCATAGAGGAATACTATAGCATTAATAAAAGGGTGGTAGGTATCGTAATTAAACTCAATAAGAGATACAAAATGAAGGTGGTACAGGATTATGCGCCTGCATCCAGCCATGATGACGCGTCAGTTGAAAGCTTCTATGAATAAGTGATGGGGGACTTCAATGCAAAAGTAGGGAAGAAACAGGTTGAAGACCAGGCAGTAGGAGATTATGGCATCGGTAATAGAAATGCCAGAGGAGAGCTATTAGTAGAATTCGCAGAACGCAATAACATACGGATTTTGAATACCTTCTACCAAAAGCGAGGGAACCGTGAGTTGACATAGAGGAGCCCTAATGGCAAAATAAGAACGAAGTAGACTTTATAATGAGTGCACACACAGGCATTGTGCCGTATGTGGAAGTGCTTGGCAAGGTACGATGCAGTGACCATAGAATGGTACGGTCTCGAATTCACCGAGACTTGAAGAAGGAACGACAGAAACTGTTACGCAAGAAGCCAATCAATGAGCTAGCACTGAGAGGGAAAATCTCGCTTCAGAAATTCAGAGTCTCGCTTCAGAACAGGTACTCGGCTCCCATCGAGGAAAACAGCCTTAGCGTTGACGCAATGAATGATAATCTGACGAGTGTCATTACGGAGTGTGTCGTGGAAGTTGGAGGTACTGTAGTTAGACAGGACACTGGCAAGCTGTTCCGGGAAGTGAAAAATCTCATTAAGAAGCGTGAAAGCAAGAAAGCCTCAAAAACGTACAACAGAAAAAATCGAATCGGCAGAGCTTTTGGAGTGGATTAATAAGTGTAAGGTATCCGATGTAAGAAGGTATAACATGGAGAGAATGTAACATGCTCTGAAGAACGGAGGAAGCGTGAAAGCAGTGAAGAGAAAACTTGGGATAGGCAAAAACCAGATGTACGCACTAAGGGACAAGGAAGGCAAAGTAACAACCAATATGAATAGAATAGTAAAATTAGTGGAGGAGTTTTACAGCGATCTGTACAGTAGCCAGCACAACCACGACTTTAATATAAGAACTAGCAGTAACCTGAATGACACCCCACCAGTAATTACAGAAGATGTCAGAAAAGCCTTGGAGAGCACGCAAAGAGGCAAAGTTGCTGGTGTGGATCAGGTAACATCAGATCTGCTGAAAGATGGAGAACAGATTGTGTTAGAAAAACTAGCGACACTGTTTACGAGGTGTCTCCTGACGGGAAGAGTACCAGAATCTTGGAAGAATGCTAACATCATCCACATACATAAGAAAGGAGATGACAAGGACCTAAAGAATTACAGGCCAATGAGCTTGCTCTCCGTATGCGTAGTGTACAATCTATTTACCAAGGTAATTGGTAGCAGAATTAAGAGAACATTAGAATTCAATCGAAATAATCAACAAAGTGAGCAGCTGCATAGGTTCCGGCGTTACCTTACGGACACATAGTGGGCTCTTCGCTGACTTATAGAGAAGAATTATGGCCGGGACATCTGTTCTGCTGTACAAAGATTCCTAATCGAATCGAGGTGGTTTTGATGGCAAATCTCTAAATTAGTAAAATTTGATTATTTGTAATATTTTGAAAAAATATTAAATTTAAAAGTAATATGTGATACACTATTTAAATAATCGTTTCTAGGCCAATCTCCCAGAGTGGGTGAGATTCATTCGTTTAGGCCATCATCATCACCATCATCATAATCATCATTAGTGGACACTTAACAGCTGCACCTGCAGTAAGTATTCTAGGATGCCTTGAAACGGCCGATGTCGCGCGCACAGACGTTCATTTCCTTGAGGCACAGTTGAAGCATTTACAAAAAAAAAAAAAAAAAAAAAACCGAAGCCAGACTAACATACGGAAGGCGATGCACACGGGGCCCGATCATGCTATTGCGTTCTACACTTGAAGGCAAAACTCCAGCGTCCTCCAAGTTTTTTTTTTTCTCTCAAACAAGCTCAAAGGCATGGTTCAGAACTCCATTGAAGAAAACGCTTTCCGAGGGCCTGTTATGTTCATTATGAAGATTTGACGCTAAATGTGAGCGTGCTACACTTGAAGGCGAAACTCAAGAGTCCTCCAGGCTCGTTTTTGTGGTCACGTTGCCAATATAGATATAGTAATGCGCTGCCAATCCGCTCGCGTTCACTGGAGAATCATGCTATCTGTGCATAGTGATATCCGTACATATGTGGCGCAAACACTTTGACGAAGTGTGCTGGTACAGACACATTGACGCACAAATAACAAAAACGCTGCTCTTCACTAGCAAATCTGCGCAACGTCAGTAGAATTCTCCACTCGGCATCCCCCTTGATATAACGGTTGAGCGCTGTAACGCAATGATAATGAGAAACTTTCAGGCCGTATCTATCCCATTCGTGCATGAGGACACGATTGAGATATATGCGAGGTAGATATGCAAGACGCCGTGAGAAGCACTTTTCATCAAATTATCTCTTGGAATAGTTAATTTTTCGAATTCCCGTGGTCAACTTTCCATTCAAGCTATTCTTTGGTGCTTGCAGGGTAGTCCATTTCTGTTCAGGGTGAAGTCGCGAAGGCCACGCTGTGAGGGGAACAGGCGTCTTGCTGTCCCTTCACCGGAGATGAGTTCTGCTCGTCGCGCAAGTGAAAGCCATCTCTCTCGGAGCCTGCGAAAACGTCAATGCATTCCAGGTAAGAAAATTTGCGACAAGAGAAATTGGAAGCATTGAAATCACGTCGGAACAAAACGGCTAAATTCGCTCAACGAGATGCGTATTCTGTCAACTAAGTATGCAGTCTCGTTAGAGTAATAATGAAAGGCGCGTTGGTCTTACTCAACGCCACCTAAACCACAGAAATCCTGCTGGAAATCCTGCTGGATGAGCCGTTAACGTCACTCGAAAAGAGGGAGAGAAACAGGCCGCCCATCGCAGACTGTGATTCTAAACAGAAAAAAAAAAAGATCGCGTTGTGGGCGTTGGCCGCCTGCTCCATTGCTTTTTATAGCGTGTGACCTTCACGGCTCAAGTAGCTGACTCTCGAACTTATCTGAGAGTGAGCGCTTGTTGATCGCGGCGCCCAACGAGTCATCGTATTTGACGTTGCGTTTTGTTTTTCATGACGTTTCTGATTATTTCTCATATCCTCTACTATTATTGCCTTGCTTACCTGAAAGGGCGTAAACCATCGCTGTTATTTCTAGAGAAGGAAGTTTTCGTTGAATGATATAAAAATGCACACAAATACACGTTTTGTTGTTACAAATAGTGATGAGCAATAGTACACATCGTACAAAACCCATTTGCAGCATAAAACGGCACCAGCGTCATGACAGCAATTTATTTGAAGCAAAAGACTGACCTATGTACAAAAGAAAGAAACAAACAAAACGTGGAAGCGCTACATGAAGGTAGTACTAAGGCATTCCTTCGACACCTCAGACAAACAGTGTGCAAGAAGTAGTATCCAGTAAGGACATCAAATGAAGTGGCGGTTCCAAATATTCACATGCAATGCAAAGCCAACGAAACGTGGAAGGCATCGCAACAAACTCGCCACGTGGGCTCCTTTTTACAAGGGTCATACAAGTTTTCAATGCCCATTATGTTTTCTTGATGATGATTTGTGGGGTTTAACGTCCCAAAACCACCATATGATTATGAGAGACGCCGTAGTGGAGGACTCCGGAAATTTTGACCACCTGGGGTTCTTTAACGTGCACCCAAATCTGAGCACACGGGCCTACGACATTTCCGCCTCCATCGGAAATGCAGCCGCCGAAGCCGGGATTTGAACCCGCGACTTGCGGGTCAGCAGCCGAGTACCTTAGCCACTAGACCACCGCGGCGGGGCCATTATGTTTTCTTTTTAAAGTCTACCGTTTTCATCGCAACCCTGTTCGCCGAATTGTTTGAGTAACACGCGAAGAAACATTCGTACGAAATTTCTCCCGCATATACGAACCGCTTACACGTCGTTGCACTACCCATGCGCCATAACTACAGTCTCCAAACGGCTGACGCCCTATCTTCAAGCAGGGCAAGCTGCCATGAAAATCTTTTAAAGGTCATATATAACGGAAAAGCGGGAGGCCAACTCTTCCACGAAAAGAAGGTACAGCGCGTGTTAAAGCGGTCGCTTTCAACGCACACACGACCGCGAACATGCCGCGAGTCATTCACGTGCCCGCAGACTCTTCCTAGAGATTTTTTTTTTTTTTGGCACGGAGCGAGGGGTGTTGCGGTGAAGCTAGACGTCAATCGCCTAAGACGCCGTGCTACTATGTATAGCCCAGGGGCGCTGCGTAAGCAAAGACTGGTATTGCTCTGCTCAAAAATAAATCGGGGGCAAGCAACCTTGAGCGGGGGCGGCAAAGAACATGTGCTGTGAACACTGAAGGACAGGATTGTGCTTTAATGCATGATTACTATACGACACGGCGTGCCCAATCTGGCCACTTGTTCGGAGCAACGACAAATAAAGCAGGAAGGCCGGTGATGCTGGTCGACTGGCTCGAACTGTTTCCCATCGCTGGTGGAGCGAGCGCCAGACACTGAAACTGTATGACAGCTGGACTATGTTCATCCGCAGTGGCTGTCGTTTGTCAGCGATTACTTGGGAAAATACAAGACGAAGAAAAGCAGTAGTAAAATGGCAAATGTTAAAAAGTAAAGTGAAGAAAACGTGTGCTATACCACGGTTGCGCGACGGGGAGCTAAAATCGAAGATCATTGCGTCATTCTTGGTTTTGCGGATCAACGAGAGCCGATTCTGTAGCACGGCTGCTGCCGATGTCGTTAGGGTTCGTGATGGTTCCGCGTCTTTGGTTGACGCTGGGTATTTGCAATGGCGAAATTTAAAAACTAGCTACTTTTTACAGCTTGGCTAGCTTGATTATATTTAGTAAACGTGATAAAGTACATCTCACCCCATTTTGTAAGTTATTCCAGCATTAAGCCCATGTAGCAAAGTAGAAGGTTATCTTTCACAGATGTGTATATGTTACCTATACCTAGCCAAACAATGGTATGTACAGCCGTGCTATTTATGACTTGCAACACGCGAGCACGAGGCCTCACAAGTTCAAAGATTTCGCATGGCTTCAGCTACCTCTTATATCCATCGCTAAACGCGTTTCTCTCGCTTGGGTATCATCCCAAATAAGCAAACAACATTTAGTGTTTGAAATAAAAACAAGTTGAAACCATGCGCAACATTTGAACTCGTGAAGCCACGCGCTCCCCTTTTGCAAGTCATATTGAATGCGCCTGTACATATGCAGCAGAACATTTACACATCTCCTCTTTTAAGCAAATATCAGTTGTCGAACATCAGTCCACCTTGTTATATTTGCCAATAGACAGTAGCACCCATCGGTTGAGGTAACAGTTAAAAAGAGAAGGTGCTGGTATATGTTCGTATTAAATACGAAGCATTTCTTTGCGTACAGCAAGCACTTTGGTATATATCTATCTATCTGCCGAGCCACTTACGTATGGGTGTTCTGGTTTGATAGATATGTGGGATTTAACGTCCCAAAACCACCATATGATTATGAGAGACACCGTAGTGGATGGCTCCGGAAATTTTGACCACCTGTGATTCTTTAACGTGCACCCATATCTGAGCACACGGGCCTACAACATTTCCGCCTCCATCGAAAATGCAGCCACCGCAGCCGGAATTCGATCCCGCGACCTGCGGGTCAGCAGCCGAGTACCTTAGCCACTACTACCGCGGCGGGGCTTGTGGCCAACCGAGCATGCTCCATTTATTGTTTTTGTCGGCTGCTCTCGCACACCGTTCCCAGCAGTGTCATGACACTCGATTCGAGTAAAAAAAAAAAAGTCACCGTTTCGGGAAAAGGGCGAAGGAATGAATGCGACAGCAACATATTCGTATATTTTACAAAGGAGGGCTACCATTTTTATGATCAATATTAATTGTAGTAAACATGCGTTTGGTAAGTAACCGAAGTTCCTATAGCGTGACCACAGTAGATGGCCAGAATAAGGCTTGTGCGTAGTGACGGCGTTGATATACGAAGTGAGGCTGGCAGTCAACTCATTTAGATCCGATCTCACTTAACTATACAAAACGCTGGTGTAAGAGAACACGGCCGCTCCAGGTACACTTTTGGCACAGTTTATGAGTGTGTGTGTGTGTTGAGAGCGCAGCCTGAGCTCTCACCTGCTGCGGGGGCAAAAGCCGCGTGCTGATCGTTACAATGATAGCCCCCCCCCCCCCCCTGTTTATTTAAGAGATGAACGTGCGCGGGGCTGGAAAGGCGATATTCGCTCCGTAGAAAAAGGAGCTTAGTGCATCCTTTTCATATATATATATATATATATATATATATATATATATATATCGTGTTTTACACAATATTAATGAGATCTAGCAGACAATAATGCCAAGGAAGGTATAGGGGAAGTTATTAGGCCAATTGTAATGTAAATGAGAAGAAAGAAAAGTGGGGGAAAAGAGAACTTGCCGTGGGCAGGATCCGAACCTGCGACCTTCGAATAACGCGTTCTATGCTCTACCACTGAGCTACCACGACAGCTATCCCTCCAGCCACTTTATTGGGTATCTATGTCAATTTAAACGTGGGAGTGTCAGTCAGCGCCACTAGGCCACAAGTAGCCATGGCGGCGAGTGTGGCACACTCTTTATGAGCCTGTTTGGCGTCACGTAGCACGTGAACTTATTACTAACTGGCAGCTGACCAATAGTCCTCCGTATACAACCTAAAGGCACCAAGTCTGCCTGTACGAGACCCTCATTAAGGAATAAAGGAAACAAGTGTATACTTAAGGGCTCGTTTTTCGTGTTTTACACAATATTAATGAGATCTAGCAGACAATAATGCCAAGGAAGGTATAGGGGAAGTTATTAGGCCAATTGTAATGTAAATGAGAAGAAAGAAAAGTGGGGGAAAAGAGAACTTGCCGTGGGCAGGATCCGAACCTGCGACCTTCGAATAACGCGTTCTATGCTCTACCACTGAGCTACCACGACAGCTATCCCTCCAGCCACTTTATTGGGTATCTATGTCAATTTAAACGTGGGAGTGTCAGTCAGCGCCACTAGGCCACAAGTAGCCATGGCGGCGAGTGTGGCACACTCTTTATGAGCCTGTTTGGCGTCACGTAGCACGTGAACTTATTACTAACTGGCAGCTGACCAATAGTCCTCCGTATACAACCTAAAGGCACCAAGTCTGCCTGTACGAGACCCTCATTAAGGAATAAAGGAAACAAGTGTATACTTAAGGGCTCGTTTTTCGTGTTTTACACAATATTAATGAGATCTAACAGACAATAATGCCAAGTAAGGTATAGGGGAAGTTATTAGGCCAATTGTAATGTAAATGAGAAGAAAGAAAAGTGGGTGAAAAGATAACTTGCCGTGGGCAGGATCCAAACCTTCTTTTCACACACACACACACACACACACACACACACACACACACACACACACACACACACACACACACACACACACACACACACACACACACACACACACACACACACACACACACACACACACACACACACACACACACACACACACACACACACACACACACACACACACACACACACACACACACACACACATATATATATGAAAAGAAGCTGGTACACGTACGAGAAAGCTAGCAGTTCCTTTATAGATTTACTTTT